AATGATTTCCTGACTTCTGGTTATTGGCGATGTTGACATCGATCACTAGGCCAATATGGCACCTCCCAGGCTTCTCCACTATAGTGAAGCCCCTCAGAACCCAGCTCTGATCACTCTCTCAACTCCAGTACTCCCTACAGGGGTTACCCTGGCTCCATGGCAACCCCAAGCCAGCTGGCACTGCCATCACACCAGAGATCTGCCCCACTAGGCTCCCTGACAGAGACTGAGAACTGGCTTGCTGCCCGCCCCCCCAGCTTTCATGCTGGACTTTACAGGAGAAAGGAAGAAAGGAACGAAAGGAGGGCGTAAGAAGGTGTTCTGATTATTCTAAAGGAAGGTTATTGTGTCAATGAGGAGAAGGGGACAGTGGTCCTTGTGTCTTTCTCTTGAATGAATATGCATATATTTTGAAGTAGGAAAAATACTTAATTTCAGATATGACTAAGATGTAACAAGAGAAAAATTTGTGATGTTGAGAAATGAGAAAAATGATATCACAAGTTCAGTTCTGATGGCCAAACCTACAAACTAGGGCCCAGAAAGCGACTCTGACATCTCACCTATGAAACAATTCTAAAACACTAAGTAAAATGATTGGGCAATAAGTACAATGGTAATAAATGAAATACAACTGGTGTACTTTAATTATGATACATCAAAACTGTGGTTTGACTCTGGGAAGGTACAGTTGATTCTACATCAAACAAACTATTCATATAATTCATCAAGATTAGAGGTGAAAGAGAAAAGCCGTATGATTATCCTAATTCATGGCCAAATGCTTTAGGTTAAATTGAAAACATAGTTGTCCAAAGCTTATAAATTGTGAATGGAAAAATACTTCCCATCATCAGCACTGATGAGGAGGCATGCAGTATTTTGTTTACAAAATCAGGAACACATCTACACATCTATAAGGTCAGCAATACAGAGGACAGCCCAGCTTGTTCTGAAACACTTCAAGAGTCAACAAAAAGTATAATTAAAGCCAAGCACGGTGGTGCTTGCATGACTGTAAACCCAGAACTTGGGAGACTGAGGCAGGAGAACCACAAATTCAAGGCCAACCTGGGCTACATAGTGAGATTCTTTCTGAAAAAAAAAATTAATATAAAATAAACTAGATATATAAAAAAAAAGTTAGAGGAAATAAGTCACATTACTTGTGCACCATGTTATTTATCAGGAAAAACCTCATAGTGAATAAATTTAATATAGCAGCCACATAGAAAACATCTACAAAATCTGATACCTGTACTCTATTGCAAGATAGAAAAAGTTAGGGCTGGAGATTTAGCTCAGCGGTTCGGTGGCCTGCCTTGCAAGCACAAGGACCGGAGTTCAATCCCAGTACCAAAACAAAACAAAACGATAAAAAAAGTTAATTCCCTGAAAGTGTGATTACTTAGAAGCCAGCTGTTCAAGAATGTTCAGGAGTTGTAGGCAAGCTGGAAACCTCACCTTGATGTGCTGCCACTGGGATTACGACTGTGTGGTTGACAGTATGTGTAGTCAGTACAGTCCCACAAACCACCCTCACCCTTTCAGCCGAGAACAGTGGTGGTAAAGCCAGGCATGCGTGCCACCTTGGGCACACAGAGCCCTCTCTTTTGGCACATGAGCCAAATGGCCCAGCAGCTAAGCATTGGATATTCAGGTTTCATCAAAGGGTTGGCTCTGTGTGATAAGTGGGTTTGGGCTGCAGTTTGGGCACTCGTCTCTAAAAGGTTTGCCATCACTGGCCTAAATGCCAGTGGCTGCAGTTATCTTACAGCATTCATCTTTAAGCTGTCCAATGCCCATACACTTTTATGTTAGTGAAGTTCCCTAATTATATCTTTAAATTAGATTTATTATAATTTTCACACAGTGAAATTTATCTTTTTGGGGGGGATACAGTACGATAGGTTTTGACAGCACACACAGCAGAGTAACTGCCCACATCCCCTGTTTTTGTGTGCATCTGTAGTTCATCTGCTACTGTTCAGCAGACTTTCACTGCACGGACAGACAAAATCTGTCCAGTTCCTGGTTGAGGGACTTTTGTGAGGTTCCCAGTTTTTGACAGTTACAGTAAAGCTGTTGTATGGAGATTGACAGGAAGACACATATTTCATTGTTTCTGGGTGAGTCTTGAGCAGCAGGATTGCATGGTTGTAAGATAAATCTGTGTTTGTTATTCTTATTTGTGGCTAATCTTTCTCTCACCTCAAATACATCTTCACACTGACTTTACTTACCCTTTTAGCCGCTTCACGTGGATTTCCTATTTTGAATATAAAGGTCTCGTTCCATACTTGCCCCTCAGAATCATCTCTACAGCATAAAACCTCATTCCAGATGCTGGGGAGATTCAGTTGATCGCAGGCGGGAGGGAGGGACCTTTCATCCAGATTTTAACCCTGCTCCATGTGCCGTTCAGCTTATCAATCAAGTTTGAGAATGTCTATCTGCCACGTGTTGCTTAAAACTGCGAAGGCTTGGCAAGAGAAACGCAAAGGATGACGCACCATAGCAAGACTTCTTAGAACGGGCGAGGGCCAGGGTGCCTTTCCATTTGGGGAACAGAGAAAGAAACAGAGGTGCTGGCTGCACGAGGATGATGTGCCTGGAAACAGATGTGCACGCACACGGCATGCTGAGCACCCACAGCATAGGGGTAACTGAACCAGGGCTCAGGCAGAGGCTGCTGCAACAAATGGGGTGGGGAAGAGGGGCACTCAGGGAGATTTCTATTCTTCCCTTGATTTTTGTTCGTAATGTATGAAATATTGCTTACTATTCTCGCACAGTGTATGTTTGAGGATGGTAACGGCTGTGTCCTGAGGTCCCCCAAAACCTCATGTGGTCATAGGTGGGGCTTTTGCAGAAGTGGCTGCATCTACGTTGTGTGACGCTGGGATTGATTCATAGTGTGATGTAGGCTCAAGGGCCTAGGATTAAAGGTGTGAGTGCTGCGTGCCCTAGGTAGTCTGGGTAGGCTAAAAGGGGCAGAAAGATGCTGCTAGGTCTCATTGCTTTTGCTGTCTTCTGTGTGCTGTGAACCGTTTCTCCTCCGCAATGCTCCTCCTTCCCTGCCTCGGAGCCAGCTGATTATGGACTAAAACCTCTACAAACTGTGAACTACAATAAACCTCGCCCAGTTTAACTTTGGATGTCGGTGTTTTGTCTCAGCATCATCAAGAGAAAAGAAACTAAGACAAGGGGAATGGGCAGAGAACCATGGGGTGAAATTTTAGGAATGGCTTCCACCAGGAGTGTTGGCAAGGGGTGGACTCTGGCTTCCAAGGAGAGGGGCTGGCTTTCGATGGAGGAGGTGGGGACATGTGGCAGAGAGGAGGTGCTCCGGACTCTCCCTTCTTGAGTGGGGTGTGGATTTGTGACTCATGGAGAAAAGGCTAGTTGTGGGGTAATTGTCCTGCAGCCAAGGCTCTTGGTGAGGACCCTGGGAAGTAGCCATAGGGTGAGCAGATGTCCCTGTCCTGGTGACCTCGGTGAAGCATGATGCTGAAGACAGTGAACGACAGCTTCAAAAGACACTCCACACTCATCACTGAGCAAACCGGAATGCAGGCCCCTGGGGCCCTGGAGCCCAGACAGGAAGGTGGGGCAGGTTTTCTTACATTAGGACCACACAGGGTCAGGTGTGGGATTGGAAGGGCAGGCTCCATCTGTCCCCTGAAGACCTCCCCTCCCTTCTGGTCCTGAGATCAGCGCTGGTGAAAATAATGTACTTATCTGGATTTTTTAAAAACTGTGCAACATGCTTTGACGTGGCTAGATGTAGCCATGCATGTATGACCCTCACAGTGGGCAGAAGGGCTCAATTCCCAAGTACGTGACTACATTTTTAAGAGAAAAGCCTAACTTTCAGAGGGATTAGGTGACATAAAATTATTGTGTGTTTTCAAAACAGTATACATCAGTGAAATTTGGAATCATAATGTACTCAGGTAATTTTAAGGATTTCTGATCTGTAGTTCCTCAGCAGTTCCCTTTCACTGTACTCTATGGCTCTTGCTGGAAACATGAAAACCTCGTGAGCCCCAGAGTGAGCAGCAACCCCACATCTGCACCCTGCCAACCTAAGGCAGCCGAGCTTCTGGTGTTACAGGAAAATGTGTGCAGCACAGCTTTCTTCAGACTGAGTGCCCTTGACCTTGTGGTGGCTGGTGTTTCTTCTTACATCCCAGATGTGGCATCTTCTGCCCTGTTGTGTGCGGTAAATAACTAGTGTGGACCCCGCCAGCCACATCTGGCCACTGTGCCGCGCTCCTCTTCCCAGGAGCCCTATGACAATCCTGTGCTTTGGCATGGGTGGGTTGCGTTGTCCGTTGACCTCTGGAGCCTTCCACCTGCTCTCTTGGAGCTGAGGTGGCACGTTTGGGGCACCCATGGGGAAAGGGGGTGAGTGACCTCTGCCCTGCTGAATCACAAGTGTGGCCTCTGTGGGCGCAGGGTGGCAGCTGAGTCCCTGGTGGTAATGACAGTGTGAGTGCAGTGTGTGCTCCACGTGATGGTGTGCAGGGGTGGCTCTGAGTCATCTCAGCCCTGCCCCGCACCAGCTCCCAGATGACACAGACCCCGGGCAGGGTACCTCTGGGTACCCACGACAGGCGCCTCTCTGAACACCTTTGACACTAATCACCTGTACTGCTTTCCTGTATCAAGGCCCTGAAGTTCCCCGGGAAGAGCCCACTCCCCCTCCAGGCTCACACCACCAAGGGTCTCTGCACCCTGAGGCACCTGAGCCAGTTCTGAGGGCATAGCCACTCTTCCTGCATGCCTGTGCCTTGGAGTTGGAGCTGTGCCAGGACAGCTCTCAGAGGGCAGCTGCATGTCGTGTCCTTAGAAGCCTTGTGGAGGCCACGATCCCCAAGTTCACAGCCAAGATGCCACGGAGGTCCTGGGTGGGGGGCAGCATCTGCTTCCCATTCACTGTCTTTCTAAAAAGTCAGTATTTTTAGAGTTTTCCAATTCCCTGTCACTTTCTTTAGATTGCTTTCAAAGAGAGAGAAGAACCCAAACTTCTTGGTCGGCCTGGAAGAGAAGCACCAGGCTGGGAAGGAGCCCAGTGTACAGGTTCAACCTCGCTGCCATGTGGACCTGCTGGCAGCCACACTGAAGATGTTCCTGGGTGCCTTCCTGTCAAGAAGAAACCAGCAGTTGGTGGAGTTTCGAGCTGAAAACACCCAGAGACTGTGGTCGGGCCAGCCCTACAGTTTGTCATGCACTGGGCCTGCAGCTGCTGTTGCCTGCACCCTCTGTCACATTTTTATTGTTCACTAAGTACACAATTGCTGATTTCGGGGGCATAACCTCAGATCCCAACCCTGTCCCTGCCCAGCCACTTCTTTACCTTCCCAAGGAGCCTTTATTCTCTGACACACTGTGTCATTTGATCCCCCTGCCACCCGGCTTTGGGCTCCTAATCCTTCTTGTTTACAGTGAGTTTAATCTCTGTCATGTTTAGCCTTTGGCTGGGCAGATCCCCTCCTCCCTGGGCCAGGCCATGTGACACATCCATTAGCCCCAGTGACAGGGGCTTTAAGTATGTCTGCATCTTGAAAGAACAGTCCCCAAAGCCTTAAACCTGCTCCCATAAATAGCCTTTGAAGGGCATTTGAAGGCAAACTTGATGAACAGGATCAAAGAGAGGCCTGGCTGGGGACCACCCCAGTATAGCAGAAGCCAGGTTTTGAAGCAGAAAATCAGTGGATTTCTCCATGAAAGACTAGGTTCACTTTATAGCAGTGTTGAACTGACAAAAGCAAGAGGAATTCTGTCCTTGTGCTTCCCAGCTCAGTGTTCCCACTCCCAGCCCCTTGAATTCTCTGTTCCAGTTTGGGAAAATCCAGGTTTGGTGGATGCCTGGGGCCATCTGCAGGGCCTGGGGCAGTGGGAGGAGGTCAGCCCATACCCAGCCCCAGCGTTCTGCTGGCCTGGCTGCCAACACGAAGTGCCCTGCAGTATGTGGGCTGTGTCCCTGGGGCCAGGGTCTGCTTCCCGTGGAAACTGAGAGTTGGATTATGGAGTGGAGGAAGGGAATGCAAAGCCAAACAGCCATTGCTCTAGACCAGCCTAGCCACTCCTTTGCGCACTGATTCAGAAGTAAAACTTTTTATGTTAGTTCCTTGATTTTATTTTGTTTTGTTTTTTGTCACCAGAGATCGAACTCAGGACCTTGTGCCTTCGAGGCAGGCAGTGGAATAGCTGAGCTAAATCCCTGGCATTGTTGGAACCTTGATTTTAACTCAAGCCATTCACATTTTTAAAATTATGGTAAAAGATATGTAACGTAAAATTGACTGTATTAACCCTTTTTAAGTGTAAGCTTTGAGGCACAGAACGCATACATACATATTTGTGTTACAGTCACCTCCATCCACCTCCAGGATGTTCTCACCCTGAAACTCTGCCCCCATTAAACCCTGACTCCTTATCCCGCACCCCCATCCTGGGCGGCCCCCATTCTCTTTCCTCAATGAACTTGACTGCTCTATGTACCTTATTTCAGAGGAATCCCACAATATTTGTCCTTTTGTGACTGGTTTACTTGGCATAATGTCTTCAAGATTGGTCTTGCTGTAGCATGGGTCAAAATATCCTTCTTTGCAGCTGAATTCTACTCCACCGCATGGATAGCGGAGCACTTGGGTTGTTGTTGTGTTTCCCTGAAAATAAGACCTACCTGGAAAACAAGGTTTACATGATTTTAGAAGTCAAATTCCCTGAAAAGGAGCCCTAGGGGCTGGGGATTTAGCTCAGTGGTTTTGCTGCTTGCCTCACAAACTCAAGGTCCCAAGTTTGATTCCTGGTACCAAAAAAAAAAAAAAAAAAGAAA